CTTTATTCTAGCAGGAATTATTGTAGACGGATCCAGCCTGAATCTTTCATACTGGAGCAGATGTTCCTTTAAATGGCTCCAACGGTGATTATTGAGCAGAGGGGCAGGGACTCTGAAAGCATCAAGAATAACCCAGTACTCATGTATGTATGTTTAACTTCTTTTGCACCGTACGTAGCCAACCGTACTATTCGGAGGTTGCTGTTGACCAGGTCAATGAAGCATAAATGTAGGTCCCGCTCGGACTGCAGACGGACGGAAAATATGGAGTGCGTGTGGGACCTCTCCAATGTGAAACCACCTGGGGCTTGGCAAGCCTCTCATCATAGCCAACACGGTCGCGTCTGGCATAGTAATCTGCAAGGCTCAATTATTGTGGTGATGGGGTAACTGCAATATCCGACCGTGTCCATCCGGGGCTCACCGAAGGAGTACGCACACAGTGCTTGTCACAAGCGAACCGCAATACCTCGCTGATCTCGTCAAAACCATCATCACGCGAACTCCGCTCATCCTCGCAATGGCTATTAGCTAACCGTCGGGCAAAGATGCTCACCGCATCGCGCGCTTTCGGATGTGCTCCTGCGGCCGATTGGAATGCTCTTCCGATGTTAGTAAAGCACTGGGAGCTTTGCCACTTTTAAATCTAGATTTCAAACTAATTTCTTTCGAACTACTTCCTGTGTTCATTTTGTTGTCCTTCCCCCACACCTCAGGTTAGCACGGTTGGCTATGTAAAGTGCAGAATAAGTTCTACGTACACACGTGCGCGCACACACACACACATGCAATCATAGGTTCACGACACAGGCAATGGCACGCGTAAGGTCAGTGAGTACATATTTTTTTTATTTTAATCCAGAACACAAGAAAGACATTGCACAGAAAACACCAACCCCAGTCACGTAAGATCAATCGAGAACTTAATAACCTTTTCTCAAACTATCACACGGACACCCGTCCAATCTCAAATGGCAACTCGTTCAACCCACAGAAACGAGGAGGTACACAGAAAATACCCAAGCGTAGTTTTGGCGAAAGTTGGAACAAAAATAATTTTGAAGCAAAATTTTTGCTCTCTCGTTTGCTATTCCAAGAGCCAGTCGCTTACCGGTTCTCTCACCTCTGCGAATCGCGGCAAGGAAGCCACTTGTAACGTAAGCGACGTCCATCGTCAGCAGTGTGTGAATGATGTTCATAGCCAACGGCATCGTAATCGCGAGTGGCTAACCCTTAGGGTTAGCAGACACGCACACACAAAATCTGGTGTCGCCAAATTTCGACCGACCACTATCAAACGTTTTCAAGGGCAAAAGTCGACCGGACCTTTGACCCGCAACGTTTTTAGAATTCCTAGGGGAGGATTTGTAGGTGTCCTCACTTTTAGACCCGTAAAAACAAAACTCTGGAGCGGACGGGAGCTAAATAATAAAAGACATATACTCAGTGCGGGCGGGGGTGGGAGAGGGGGGCCCACACGGAGATGGGGTGGTGGCCTTAGGAAGCCAGGGCGTACGGACGGCTGAGAGTAACTGGTGCACTTTGGCGGTGGCAAGATGTGGATGACACCTGATGTACGAATGGAAGATGAAGAAATGATCCTTCAGTGTGCCACTGTGGGTCACCCAGGACAGAGACCGTGCAACGTATAACGATGCAATGCCCCGATCCACAAGTACAGAAAAAGAAGACATCGCAGCGGCCATGATACAATGCTCCGCTGCTCCTGACGCGATTGTTTGGCTTGACCACCTGAATGTGAAATTGAAGTTGTCTCTGTATCTAAATCAGCAGACGTACGGACGAGGAAGAAATTCTTAGATACCCATCGAGATCCAGACTCGTAGAGACGCTCAGAGACCCATAGAGACTCGCAGAGATTCACAGAGACTCGCAGAGACCCATAGAGACTCATAGAGACTCGCAGAGACTGGCAGAGACTCAAAGAGACTCGCACAGACTCATAGAGACTCATAGAGACCCATAGAGACTCGCAGAGACCCATAGAGACTCAAAGAGACTCGCACAGACTCATAGAGACGCATAGAGACTCGCAGAGACTCACAGTGACTCGCAGAGACCCATAAAGACTCGCAGAGACCCATGGAGACTCATAAAGATTCATAGAGACTCGCAGAGACTCACAGTGACTCGCAGAGACCCATAGAGACTCATAGAGATTCATAGAGACTCTCATAGACCCATAGAGACTCGCAGAGACCCATAGCGACTTATAGAGACCCATAGAGACCCATAGAGACTCGCAGAGACCCATAGAGACTCATAGAGACTCGCAGAGACTCATAGAGACTCATAGAGACCCATAGAGACCCATAGAGACTCGCAGAGACGCATAGAGACTCACAGAGACCCATAGAGACTCGCAGAGACCCATAGAGACTCATAGAGACTCATAGAGACTCGCAGAGACTCGCAGAGACGCATAGAGACTCGCAGAGACTCATAGAGACTCATAGAGACTCACAGAGACTCATAAAGACTCATAGAGACCCACAGAGACTCACAGAGACTCACAGTGACTCGCAGAGACCCATAGAGACTCGCAGAGACTCACAGTGACTCGCAGAGACCCATAGAGACTCACAGAGACCCATAGAGACTCGCAGAGACCCATAGAGACTCGCAGAGACTCACAGTGACTCGCAGAGACCCATAGAGACTCACAGAGACTCATAGAGACTCGCAGAGACCCATAGAGACTCACAGAGACTCATAGAGACTCGCAGAGACCCATAGAGACTCACAGAGATTCACAGTGACTCGCAGAGACCCATAGAGACTCACAGAGACTCATAGAGATTCACAGAGACCCATAGAGACTCGCAGAGACCCATAGAGACTCGCAGAGACCCATAGAGACTCACAGAGACCCATAGAGACTCGCAGAGACCCATAGAGACTCGCAGAGACCCATAGAGACTCGCAGAGACTCACAGTGACTCGCAGAGACCCATAGAGACGCACAGAGACTCATAGAGACTTGCAGAGACCCATAGAGACTCGCAGAGACCCATAGAGACTCGCAGAGACTCATAGAGACTTGCAGAGACTCGCAGAGACCCTTAGAGACTCATAGAGACTCACAGAGACCCATAGAGACTCGCAGAGACCCTTAGAGACCCATCGAGACTCACAGAGACCCATAGAGACTCGCAGAGTCTCATAGAGACTCGCAGAGACTAATAGAGACTCACAGAGACCCATAGATACTCAGAGACTCATAGAAACGCATAGACTCATAGAGACCCTTAGAGACTCGCAGAGACTCATAGTGACTCGCAGGGACTCAAAGTGACTCGCAGAGACCCATAGAGACTCAGACCCAGAGACTCTTTTAGATTCAGGCTCAGAGAGTCCCATAGACTGATAGAGACATCACAGTGATGATACACTCCACTGCTTCTGACGTGGTTCTCTGCCGGCTTGCCCACCTGAATGTGAAATTGTATTCGTCGCCGTCTCTGCATGTGCCCAGCAGCGGTACAAAAGTAAGAAATTAAAAAGGCAGCCGAGGAGGCTGAGGTGACTGCGTTAAACGCTGGTGATGAGTCTCGTTTCGTTTCGTTTCGAGCAAATAGCTTTAATAACGGAGTTAATTTCGAGCGCCCAATCGATTCAGTTCCCCCGATGGCTGAATCGGAAATCTGTGGACATGCAGCCCCCCCCACCCACCCCACCACTATCACGAGGTTTTTAGTTTATTCTTGGTTCTTTCGGTAAAGTCACCACGTAGAAGGGAAACAATAAAATAATAAAAATATAAAACAATTGTTTCATATTTATAAAACAATTGGTTCATATTGTTTTATAGTTTTATTATTTTATTGTTTCCCTTCTACCCACAGACAATTGTTTTATATTTTTATTATTTTATTGTTTCCCTTCTACGTGGTGACTTTACCGAAAGAACCAAGAATATGAATCCCTGCAGTCACGAAAGCTTTAAATCAAAAGTACACATGTTGAGTGTGTTGCCCTTTCCCCCACGCCTCCTATTAGCAACGATTGCCTACATTACGGTGCGAAAGAAGTTCGACATCCACACGCTCGCTCGCTCGCTCAAACTTCAAGGGTCCGACCCGCACGAAATTGGCATAGAATTGGTCAGAGACTTTTTTCGTTCTGTTATTTTAAACGTTTTTATTGCAACTCAACGCGAGCCCCGGTACAATACGCCGATCGCGAAGTGGATGGGAAGAAACGGAAACTCCGCGAACGGCAGATCCGATATTTGCGCGGAAGGATATTTACGGAGGGGGAGGGAGGGAGGGAGGGAGGCAGGGAGGGGGGTGGATGGAAATTTAGACTCGCTGCCCAACATTGCAGGGTTGGTCAGGGGACTTAACGAACGGTGAAGCTATATCGTCGCGCGCCCCACGGTGAGAATTTGTGCGAGGTGTCAAGGCTGGCGTCCGCGGGTGGGTGGGTGAACTATGACTTGGTAATGCACCGACACACACACACACACACAGACCAATACCAATAACCCCCATTGGCCGCGGCACCTGCGTCTGGCCAGGTACACTATTCAGGCTATCACGTGAAGTGTCGAAGGCTCGTTGCCGACAGGAGAAAATCGTGGGACAGACCCAGGAGGTGCAACGGGTTTGACTGACTGCGACGAACCAACATGGACACACGCAGACTAGTCTAATGTCAGCTGCATCAACTCGAATGGAATTATTGATATCAGGGGTGGCGGCAGCAGCAGCAGCAACAGCAGCAACAGCGTCTGAGCCGTGCGCACGTGAACCTGCGCACCTGCCCTGTCCGTGCGCGTCTGTGATGCATCGCAACGCACCACGGCCCCGGGAATGTGCACCTAGCCTGGCGCAGAGCCGTGACCTCAGATCGCGAACCATGTCAATGCAACACTCCGGCAGGAATGGGGCCGGTTCCTGAGGCTGAGCCGTGACTTTGCAGAGGCGGTGGGGCTCGTGGATTTGGACGTCGATCTAATTAGAAGCGCTTGATGGGATGGGGGTGAGGGTGAGGTTGAGGGTGTGAGCGAGCGGGCGAGCGAGCGAGCGAGCGAACGGGCGGGCAGCTGTGGGGAAGACCGTAGAGGCGGCATCTGTCCGGAACGTGTCGTTGACCAGTTACTTCTTCGCCAGAGCCTTGGGCCCCTTCGACAGGCAGCACTTCTGCCCGAAGTAACTGCAGAGGGGACGCAGGGCTGGGCACACGCGCGCACACGTCGCACATTGTTGTTAGGTTGGGCACGTTCAACAACAAATGCTTCTCGCCGTTCCGACGATGTCACCGTTGGCAGTCAGATTCGCCGGTGCGAGGTCCACGCGAGGGTGTTGAATTGTAAATTCACGTCGGAAAAACAAAACAACAACAACAACAACAAAAAGGTGCAATGGACGTGATTCATTTCCGGGTCGAGCTGCATTTGCATCACAGCCACCGCGGGGTCCCCACCCGGAGGGACCTTCGCAGGCCACTCTTGGTGGCCGGGATGGCACTTTTTTGAGGAGCACTGATTTAAGGAAATGTAAACGCGGCACCGAAATAAGCACAAGCGTAACGCCGCCGATTGTGCGGCCACAGGGCCAACTAGCGCCGAGTCTCATGATCGTCATCACGGGCCCGCGGGCAGAGGGCCCCCCAGTCGGCGCGTTGTTTCCACTGTCCTCCGTCTTGTGCAAATCTGCTCAAAATAGTGGCCAAATCTTTCCGGCACCAACGTCGCACTCAAAATTTTAAATGATGTTGAGTCACTCTTCCACACACCGGTGGGCTAAAGTAGTGAACTATTTGTCCTTTTTCGATTTAAAGCTTTCGTGACTGCAAGGATTCATCTTCTTTTCACTCCAGCGCTGTCCTACCAGACAGTCTCGTCCCCTTCACCTGATGAAGGCCGCTTGTGTTGTGGCCGAAACGTCGTGAGAATATTATTGTGTTGTTTTATTTTATCAATGTATTATTTTATTCTCATTCTACGTGACTTTACCGAAAGAACCAAAGAAGATATTTGTCCTTTGTCAACGTGGCACATTTTTACTGTTTGGCCGTGTCGGGTGGTGGAGGGTTACGACACATTTATAAATAACGCGATCTAACCCAAAAACGTTTATTATGAATAATATTGGTCGCGGAAGCCTACGTGTTAAACCAATTTCTTATCTCATTCTCAGTTCGGTCTTCCTCTGTGAGTCTCAGCATATAGCTATGGGTCTGAGTGTCAGTGGGTATCTACGAGTCTCAGTGGGTCTCTGTAAGTCTCTATGGTTCTTGATGGATCTCTGAGTCTCTGGATCTCTACGATGCTCAATGGATATAAATGGGTCTCCACGAGTCTCTATGGGTCTCTATGACTTCATACATATCTGAATCGGTGAGCTTATGTGGATCTTTTGAGTTTCCTGGTCTCTTGGGTTGTCGTCAAGCCATTCTCTGTTAGGTGTTTCTCTCTTTGTTTTTGTTATAAAATAAAATACTTTTAATGGCCCTGTGTTTCCAAATAGTGCCAGTTTCCATTTCACCTCTGCCTGCAGCTCCTCTTCTTCTATGTGCAACCTTTTGATTCGAAGTCGGTCACTCTTTGGGTGCACGTGTAGATGCCGTATCCTGCAGCAATACATTTCGAATGCATGTTGACTGTGAATTCAACGCAATTAGACAGAATATTTACCTGGTGCGGCGAGGCAAGGATTACCCAGAAATCCTGGTGCCACTGTACACGGACAGACACAGACAACAGATTTACACAACAGCTGCCAATCGCCACTAAGTGGCAGTGGATGTCACCACAGCGGTTAATTTTTTTTTGCCAGGCTAGGTGTGGAAGGCTCTTGCCGCTGGCATGAGGTCATGGGACAGACCCCAGGACTGTTCAGCACCTCCAATTAGCACGGTGGGCTTTGTACGGTGCGATAGAGGTTTAACATGCATACGTACATACATAGGTGCTGTGGGTTGACCGACAGAAAAGACTGGCAGATGTACCACCTGTGCTCCCCGCTGTGCCAACTCGTTGCGTTTTAGATGACCGGTGCTCCGCTCGTTGTTGTGAGCGTCGCTCCTCCGCCCTCCGTTGTGGGTGGAGGGCGACTGCCTCCAACTGTCCAGCAGCGTCCTTCACGAGGCTCCTCCACAGAGGCGGATCTGAATCGGCCCATCTCTTCTCTCAACCCGTGCCACCTTTATTGTTAAGAGGGGGACATGCTTGGGCATACAGCGGCCAAGCATGCGGGCTACATGACAGAGGAGCTCACTGATGGGACTTTTGTCCAGTTATTTGAAGGATCCGTGAGCTCCTCACACTGTGATCCAGTCTGGTTAAACCCAGGATGGATCATAGGCAGGCTCGCCTGAATGTTTCAAACCAGCGCAGATGTCCCCTTATTAGAAGGCTCCCGTGGTCTAGAAGAACCGGAGCTGTGCATGGAGCTATAGGCCAGGCAGCTTCCACACAACGTTACTCAGGTGACAAAAAAAGACAATGCCACTCAACTGATTCGGAGCGAGACCTCGGCTGCCATACCGGAGCTGGTCATACGCACAGGGCCCAGGTACAGAAACTTCTCCACTCTCTCTGCCTCATCATTCACGGCAAGTAACGAGAGGGGAGCAGGTGCTTTGTTTTCGGGGGGGGGGGGGGGGCTGGCTGATGGCAAGGCCCAATCTCTTAGTCGAATGCTCCAGGCTCAGCGGCAGCGCCTCCCAACTCCTCCTTTTGAATGAGCAGCGATTACTAGATCATCGGCACGCGTCGGATGGTATGACCAATCCCTATCGGGCATCGATTTCATTGGATATATGGCAGATGGGGAAAATTTACACGGGTACATCCATGGAAAGAATTCTCCAACGCAACAAATACCCAGGCGGGTAACTTTGTTTTTGTTGGGGCCAGGCTTCATGGCGCATCACCATCTCTTCGCAGCATGCTCCAAGATTGGGCGACTGAGTCTCCCAACCCCTGCCTGAGAGTGGAGCTAGCAGCCACCAGGTCATTCTCAGCATACGTAACGTGGTTGAGCAATGGGGAGCCATCCCCTTGCCCACACCCGGGGCACCTCATCAGACACGCACTCATGGGCAGGAGACGCAGACCTCCGTGTAGACAACTGGGCTCGTTGCCGTTAGGAGCTACACCGCTGTGTTTGGCCAGCCTGCCGCCGAAGACGACATCATATATATATAAATATATTTTTAAAAAATCTATCGGTTCTCCTATAACGCGGAAGTAGTTGCGTACCCCGGAAGAACACTGCATTATGTAAAAAAAAAAATTGCTTCATCGTGGGAATATATAAAATGGGGGGAATTTTGATTTAAAGCTTTCGTGACTGCAGTAATTCATATCCTTAGTTCTTTTGGTAAAGTCACGTTGAAGGGAAACAACAAAATAATAATATATATATAAAACAATAAAAATTCTCACGACGTTTCGACCGTAACACCTGAAGACGACCGGTTTGTGTTATGGTCGAAACGTCGTGAGAAATTTTTTATTGTTATATATATTTTATTATTTTGTTGTTTCCCTTCAACGTGACTTTACCGAAAGAACTAAGATTATATGGGGGGGGGGCAAAGTCTGTGTTTCGGAGCCCGAACGAAGACTCGAGGATAGCACGTGCAACAATCCAGCAGCATCCCCCGATGCCTTGAGCAAATCGCGTTTGTTCCAATTCGCATCTACGTCGTAGTAGGGAAAAAAAATATAACAAACGCATTCATTGCGTTCCTATTGCTTTCGGAGGCATGCATTTTGAATGTAAAACCTAAAATTTTTTTTTTTTTTAATCCCATTCTGGCCTTCTACGGGCAAATGTCTCGAATGAGAACAAATGAATGTCGCGTATTCTTGGTTCTTTCGGTAGTCACGTAGATAGAAAACAATAAAATTATTATTTTTTTGAAGACCGCTTGTTGTTGCAGGGGGCGGGGGTGGGGGTTGTGGTTGCATATTTTTTATTTTTTATTCTATTTTAATTTATTATTTTATTTTAATTTATTATTTTATTTTAATTTCCCATCTACGTGACTTTACCGATTGAACCAGGACTATGAATTCCTGCTGTCACGAAAAGTTCCAAGTCCGAATTTAACGTAGTATACTGTACACGTACCCACGTACAGTATCCGCATGCCGTACAGTGTACTGTACGTACAGTGTACTGTACGTACAGTGTCCGTGTACAGTGCTCTGAACGACAGGAAAGTCGCCGCCTCGCTGGAGGCTGGGGGACACCGCGTGGCCTGGGACCGGCGAAGGGGCCACTTAGGAGGCAAGATGGAAGACAAGACGGAGACAGCAAGAGACAAGATGGAAGACAAGACAGAGACAGCATGGAGATAAGATGGAGACAGGGGCAGGATGGAGACGAGAGAGACAAGATGGAGATAAGACGGAGACAGGATGGAGACAGGGACAGGATGGAGACAAGATGGAGATAAGATGGAGCCAGGGACAGGATGGAGATAAGATGGAGACAGGGACAGGATGGAGACAAGATGGAGATGAGACAGGGACAGGATGGAGACGAGAGAGACAAGATGAAGACAAGACGGAGACAGGAACAGGATGGAGACGAGATGGAGACAAGACGGAGACAGGATGGAGACAAGACGGAGACAGGATGGAGACAGGGTGGAGACAAGACAGGGACAGGATGGAGACTAACAGAGACAAGACGGAGATAAGACGGAGACAGGGACAGGATGGAGACGAGAGACAAGACAGAGACAAGATGGAGACAAGATGGAGATGAGACGGAGACAGGGACAGGATGGAGACAAGAGACAAGACAGAGACAAGATGGAGACAAGATGGAGATGAGACGGAGACAGGGACAGGATGGAGACTACAGAGACAAGATGGAGATGAGATGGAGACAGGGACAGGATGGAGACAAGATGAAGATGAAACAGGGACAGGATGGAGACGAGAGAGACAAGATGGAAGACAAGACGGAGACAGCATGGAGATAAGATGGAGACGAGATCGAGAGAAGATGGAGACAGGGACAGGATGGAGACGAGACAGGGACAAGATGGGAGACAAGACAGGGGGGCAGACAGGATGGAGACAGGATAGAGACAAGATGGGAAACAATATGGAGACGAGATGGAGCTAAGATGGGAAACAGGATGGAGACAAGACAGGGACAAGATGGGAGACGGAGACAGGGGGGCAGACAGGATGGAGACAAGATGGAGACAAGATGGGAAACAGGATGGAGACAAGACGGAGACAGGATGGAGATAAGATGGAGACAAGACAGGGACAAGATGGGAGACGACAGGGGAGCAGACAGGATGGCGACAAGATGGGAAACAAGATGGAGACAAGACAGGGACAAGACGGGAAACGGAGACAGGGGGGGCAGACAGGGTGGAGACGAGACGTGAGACGAGACGGGAGACACGAAGTCGCTGCGTGTCTTCTTCCGTAGCAGCATCATCATCAGCATCATCATCGCGAGCAGTGCAGTTACGAGACGTGCAGGAATCTCTCGCTCTCAGCCTCGAATGGTAGAGCCACAGGGGAGGCGTGATCGGGTGAATGTTGCCTCAATGGATTTGACGCAAAAACATCGCGATTCTCTCTCTCTCTCTATACCTGCGAGAGGGAAGGGTTTTTTGCTGCATTCTGAACAAGTTGATTAAAAACCACATCATTGGAGCTGATACAACAACAACAACATCAACAACAACATCAACAACAACAACAACAAAAAACACAATGCATTCTCTCTGGCCCATCGGGATGATTCAACAACTGTATTTGCATTATTATTTAAAAAAAATTTGGAAGAAAAAATAATGTCTAATTTGGTTCTTTCGGTAAAGTCACCACCGCGTAGAATGAGGATCAAATTATAAATTGATAAATTGACAAAATAACACGAGAGAATATTGTCGCGTTATTTTATTTAATAAATGTATTACTTTTATTCCAATTCCACGCGGCGGTGAACTTTACCGAAAGAGCCAAAGAAGACGAATCCTTTGCAGTCGCGAAACGCTTTTTAATCGAAAATAAATAAATAATATAGCTCGAGAGTTTTTCTTCGTGCTTTAATATGCGAGGCTTTCAGAAAAAAAAACAACGTGATGTTATAATTGATTTCTTTTTTTGGATTAGATCGTCGTGTAAGGTTATCATGTCACTTGTTTGCTGTAACGATGACCTTCCCAGCGCCCAATGACAGAGCGAACAAAATCTCAGTTTTCACCAATTTTGGTTACGCACCCTTAGGTAAAGTCACGGGAGTTAGAAACCAAATTAAATTAAACGAATAACGAGGTTCATATTCTTGGTTCTTTCGGTGAAGTCGCCACCGCGTAGATAGGGAAACAATAAAATTATATAAAAATTATAAAGCAATAAAATTCTCACGACGTTTCGACCGCGACACAAAGCAGCAATCATCATCATCAGGTGTGAAAACCACAGCAACAATGAAATAATAAAAATATAATCGTCAGGTGTGGTTTTATTGTTTTATATTTTACTGTTTTATATTTTTATTATTTAATTCTTGCTGTGGTCTTCACACCTGATGATGATGATTGCTGCTTTGTGTTGCAGTAGAAACGTCGTGAGAATTTTATTGTTTTATATTTTTATTATTTTATTGTCTTATATTTTTAGTATTTTATTGTTTATATTTTTATTATTTTATTGTTTTATATTCATATTGTATTCTTGCTGTGGTTTTCACACCTGACGATGATGATTGCTGCTTTGTGTCGCAGTAGAAACGTCGTGAGAATTTTATTGTTTTATATTTATATTATTTTATTGTTTTATATTTTTATTATTTTATTGTTTCCCTATCTACGTGGTGGTGACTTTACCGAAAGAAGCAAGAATTATGAGGTGACACCTTTAAATGTTTATTTATTTGCTCTGTCATCAGGTTGGTTGGTGGAGGGGGTAGGGTGGGGGGTTACAGCATCGAGGATCGAGCAACAGCGATAGAGAGGGGTACTTAGGATATAGGGGTGAGTAGGGGATAGGGAAGGGTAGGGGAGGGGATAGGGGAAGGTGGTCACAATAGAGGGGACAGGGAAGGGTAGGGGAGGTGGTCACGGGAGATGGATTTGTAGGGGTTAGGGAGGGTTTAGGGGAGGGATGGGAAAGAGTGGAGGGGGCGAGGTGAGGGAAGGGAAAGATAATGGGGTGATAGAGGATAAATTAGGCATTAAGAGAGGAACGGAAGTTGAGGAGGAGGTGGGGGGAGTTGCTTCATGTACAGGAGCAGTGTTGAGTCTGTGGGTCACAGTGTTGAGTCTTTGGGTCACAGTGGTGAGTCTGTGGGTCACAGTGTTGAGTCTTTGGGTCACAGTGGTGAGTCTGTGGGTCACAGTGTTGAGTCTATGGGTCACAGTGTTGAGTCTGTGGGTCACAGTGTTAGTCTGTGGGTCACAGTGTTGAGTCTATGGGTCACGGTGTTGAGTCTATGGGTCACAGTGTTGAGTCTGTGGGTCACAGTGTTGAGTCTGTGGGTCACAGTGTTGAGTCTGTGGGTCACGGTGTTGAGTCTATGGGTCACAGTGTTGAGTCTATGGGTCACAGTGTTGAGTCTATGGGTCACAGTGTTGAGTCTATGGGTCACAGTGTTGAGTCTATGGGTCACAGTGTTGAGTCTGTGGGTCACAGTGTGGAGTCTATGGGTCACAGTGTTGAGTCTGTGGGTCACAGTGTTGAGTCTATGGGTCACAGTGCTGAGTCTGTGGGTCACGGTGTTGAGTCTATGGGTCACAGTGTTGAGTCTATGGGTCACAGTGTTGAGTCTGTGGGTCACAGTGTTGAGTCTGTGGGTCACAGTGTTGAGTATGTGGGTCACGGTGTTGAGTCTATGGGTCACGGTGTTGAGTCTATGGGTCACAGTGTTGAGTGTATGGGTCACAGTGTTGAGTCTGTGGGTCACAGTGTTGAGTCTGTGGGTCACAGTGTTGAATCTACGGGTCACAGTACTGAGTCTATGGGTCACAGTGTGGAGTCTATGGGTCACAGTGCTGAGTCTATGGGTCACAGTGCTGAGTCTATGGGTCACATTGTTAAGTCTATGGGTCACAGTGTTGACTCCATGGGTCACAGTGTTGACTCTATGGGTCACAGTGTTGAGTCTGTGGGTCACAGTGTTGAGTCTGTGGGTCACAGTGTTGAGTCTGTGGGTCACGGTGTTGAGTCTATGGGTCACAGTGTTGAGTCTATGGGTCACAGTGTTGAGTCTGTGGGTCACGGTGTTGAGTCTGTGGGTCACGGTGTTGAGTCTATGGGTCACAGTGTTGAGTCTGTGGGTCACAGTGTTGAGTCTGTGGGTCACAGTGTTGAGTCTATGGGTCACAGTGTTGAGTCTTTGGGTCACAGTGTTGAGTATATGGGTCACAAAGTTGAGTCTGTGGGTCACAGTGTTGAGTCTATGGGTCAGTGTTGAGTCTGTGGGTCACAGTGTTGAGTCTATGGGTCACAGTGTTGAGTCTTTGGGTCACAGTGTTGAGTATATGGGTCACAAAGTTGAGTCTGTGGGTCACAGTGCTGAGTCTATGGGTCACAGTGCTGAGTCTATGGGTCACAGTGTTGAGTCTATGGGTCACAGTGTTGAGTCTATGGGTCACAGTGTTGAGTCTATGGGTCACAGTGTTGAGTCTATGGGTCACAGTGTTGAGTCTAGGGGTCACAGTGTTAAGTCTGTGGGTCATAGTGTGGAGTCTGTGGGTCACAGTGTTGAGTCTGTGGGTCACAGTGTTGAGTCTGTGGGTCACAGTGCTGAGTCTGTGGGTCACAGTGTTGAGTCTATGGGTCACAGTGTTGAGTCTATGGGTCACAGTGTTGAGTCTATGGGTCACAGTGTTGAGTCTGTGGGTCACAGTGTTGAGTCTGTGGGTCACAGTGTTAGTCTGTGGGTCACAGTGCTGAGTCTGTGGGTCAAAGTGTTGAGTCTGTGGGTCACAGTGTTGAGTCTATGGGTCACAGTGTTAAGTCTGTGGGTCACAGTGTTGAGTCTATGGGTCACAGTGTTGAGTCTATGGGTCACAGTGTTAAGTCTGTGGGTCACAGTGTTGAGTCTATGGGTCACAGTGTTGAGTCTATGGGTCACAGTGTTGAGTCTATGGGTCACAGTGCTGAGTCTATGGGTCACAGTGTTAAGTCTATGGGTCAGTGTTGAGTCTATGGGTCACAGTGCTGAGTCTATGGGTCACATTGTTAAGTCTGTGGGTCACAGTGTTGAGTCTATGGGTCACAGTGTTGAGTCTATGGGTCACAGTGCTGAGTCTATGGGTCACATTGTTAAGTCTATGGGTCACAGTGTTGACTCTATGGGTCACAGTGCTGAGTCTATGGGTCACAGTGTTGAGTCTATGGATCACAGTGCTGAGTCTGTGGGTCACAGTGTTGAGTCTATGGGTCACAGTGTTGACTCCATGGGTCACAGTGTTGAGTCTATGGGTCACAGTGCTGAGTCTATGGGTCACAGTGTTGAGTCTATAGGTCACAGTGTTGACTCTATGGGTGACAGTGCTGAGTCTATGGGTCACAGTGCTGAGTCTATGGGTCACAGTGCTGAGTCTATGGGTCACAGTGCTGAGTCTATGAGTCACAGTGCTGAGTCTGTGCGTCACAGTGTTGAGTCTATGGGTCACAGTGCTGAGTCTGTGGGTCACTGTGCTGAGTCTGTAGGTCACAGTGCTGAGTCTATGGGTCACAGTGCTGAGTCTATGGGTCACAGTGTTGAGCCTACGACTCAAGAGTGTTAAGTCTATGGGGCAGCGCCGCGTAACGTACAGGGCAAGTTGTCTCCAGTGGAGGGGTGCAAGTAGGGGGAGCGAGAGAGAAGGGGGTTCGAAGGACGATCTAACGTGAAAGAAACTAATTATGAATCGCAGGTGAGTGCTTTGTGTATATATAAACTAAGTACGCGCGAGCAGTTAGGTCACCGCGGTGATGACGACGTCCGTTTACAAGCACACACCGTCAGTAGCGGTCTTTGTCGAGCACCGAAGCGGAACCAATTGTTCCCGACCATGCAGCGTCACATCAGCAGAGCCGAGACAGAGCACATGCAAGGAACAAAGACACACAACGATAAAGATCCCCCGTATAGTCTTCAACAGAATGATTGGGGTGGGGATGGTGGGGAGGTGAATGCCATTAGCGAGCAGCAGCAGCAGCGCCTATTATGACCAGCACTGGCGCACACGAGGTGGTGGACCAATCAGTAGGTGGCTGCATGGTTGGGTGGGTGGGTGGGTTGATTGCGTGGGCGGGCGATTACGTGAGTGTTGGTTTTTAGCCTTGTCTAGACCACCAACTCGAAAGAGAGCTCAAAGTGTGGCCGGCTTATTAATTATGATTGTCATCGCCTCGACCAACAAGTTGCAAGGGCAGATCTGAAGGGGAGACGCCATTCCATGACGCGCGGGAGGAAACAGACGGACGACTGTTGAACGGTTACACTCAAATCGGACTCACCAGGGCAGTGCAGTGATGGGCGATAATCAGTTTGGCTTTGTGTACAAGTCAGCGTGTGTGCGTCTCTCTGTGTGAGTCGCTTGGTTCTTAATCGCAGGAAAACTGAATTCCATCATTGCTCCACAAAACTGCGCACTCGCTCACTCACTCGCACCTCCGATTAGCAATGGTTGGTTACGTGCAGTGTGACAGGCTATTCAACACACTACTCTACACTACACTAATATACACTACACTATTATACACATACTCTCAAATCATCCGTTCTCTAGAGGAGTAGCGAATAGAGACTGACCTTCAGGGATGACGGGGAGAGGTGCCTCTTCCTCGACCTCCACATCAATGCCTTCCTCTGCAACGAGATAGATCAAACGTTGGCCAGGGTCAATCCACTGCTGGATGAAGGCCTCCGCTTCTTTGTCTCTCCACACAAGCCACTACGCCAACCCTCACGATTCCTTGCGATGTGATGTTTGTGACTTTGATCCTTACCACCCCCGTGTATCATCGACAGTTCAACGTGCCATGGCGGTTATGAGATGTTAACTTCCTCGCCTGGTATGCAGGAGGTCGTCGGTTCAATCCCGACCATGATCATGCCTGTTGTATATTTTGAGTTCTCCCGGTGGTCGTGTGAATGTTTCTCCAGGGCCTCCGTTTTTTCCATCCACATTTAGAAACATGCGACTAGGTTATTTTTTCTGCTATAAATTTACCCGTGATGAGCCACTTCGTTGAGCTATAATTTGTGATAGCCAGGTCGCTTCTGAAAAAGAGCTATGTAGCTCAGGGGCCTTATCTGGTAAATTATAAATATATATTCTTGGTTCTTTCGGTAAAGTCACGTAGAAGGGAAACAACAAAATAATAAAATATAAAACAATAAAATGCCCAGGACGTTTCGACTGCAACACAAGCAATCACCATCAGGTGTCGAAACCCGATGATGATTGTTTTATATTTTTCTTATTTTATTGTTTCCCTTCTACGTGGTGGTGACTTTACCGAAAGAGCCAAGAATATGAATCCCTGCAGTCACGAAAGCTTCGAATCGAAATTATAAATAGTCTAGTATGGGGCTCTGGATAGGTGTATGTATCTCTGGGTAAGTGTTTGAGTCTCTGTATAGGTGCTTGGGTCCCTGGATAAGTTACGGGTCTCCGCGGAGAACCTATTGTGTCTCTGCGAGCATCACTTACCAGCGACGACCTCGGGGCCGGGGTCAGCAACAGCGGGTGCGAAGGGGGCAGCTGCATACGCGGGACCTACACCCACCACCACCACCGCCACAGGCAAAGTTGAACGGGTCACGAAAGATTCACGCACACCTGTTGCATGCATGTCTTTTGAAACTTCTTTTGCGCCGTACACAGGCAACTTGTGCTAATCGGAGGCGCGAGGGAAATGCAAACTTAAACGCAAGAAGCAGTTCTGAAAAAAATGGCGTTTGTCAGCCCGAATCCATTAAAGTTGCATTTCCCACAGTGGCTTCCTGATATCGGAAGGAGGAGCATCCCAAGGCAGACCCAGGAGCCCGTCTGATGCAGTGGCCGCCTGTGTTCGATACAGTATTCACCACGTCACACTTTGTAACCGGTTATCTCGGTAGATGAAGACTCCTGCCCAGAAGCCCCCGTCCCCCCCACACACTTCGGGGGTAGCCGCACCCTCTCTACCAATAGCCCGCCCACTTAGCCACCAGTCCCCGACCATGTAAATGAGTGGATCCTGGGGGTGTGTGTGTGTGCACGCGCCCCGTACTCACCGGGCAGGAGGTGGGGAGCGGCCACAGCGGCCACGGGTTGTGCTACAAACAAGGGGGAGAGAGAATCCCATGGCATCACATCTCCATACAGACAACAATTCCACCCCCACGTGTAGCCTTATCAAACTCATAATAAAGGTTTTTGGGTTAGATCGCGTTTATTTATAAATGTGTCGTAACCCTCCACCACCCGACACGGCCAATCAGCAAAAAAAAAAGTGTCACGTTGACAAAAGACAATTAGTTCACTACTTTAGCCCACCGGTGGTGTTGAAGAGTGAATCCACATTTACAGTTTGAGTACGACGTTTCGCTGGTAATTACATCCAGCATCATCGGGCAATTCGCCAGAATGGTAAAGCCCTCTCCACTTGCTCCTAGTCTTAAATAGAGCAGCAGCAGCAGGGTGACGTCATCATTTAACTCATTCAGGTGCAGTAATTATATAATCGATTGGTAATCAGCCAATGATTATGATTAGTAATGCGTTGTAATGTGTGTTATCAAACTGTTGGGGCAATTTTTTTCTGTCGGCAAGCACCTATAAAGGCCGGCATAGCACACGAGGGAATGGGTGACCAGGGCCTTTGATTCCCCAGTGGCAATGTTTACACACTGCACCAAGCACTCATTTGAGGCTCAGTCAGCCTAGGGAAGGCCCAGGACCGGTACAAGTATTCGTCCGTGTTATTCATCGCGAGCGGGAACCAAATTCTGGACGCCGCGTTCATAGCACATCGCGCTCACCACCGCTCCACCAGCCCTGTATGTACCCACACAAACACTCCACAGCGGGGGGGGGTCTTAAATACGGAAAATGCTCGTAAGATTTGTTGAGTTCTGGAAGGCTATGATTATAGCAAAAATCTGGAATGTAAGTTAAAACGGATCGAGATGGCAGTGCTGTAGGGATGTTTGCAACACTGTGGTTTATTCTAAATTTGAAGCTTTCGTGACTGCAAGGATCCATACTCTTTGGTTCTATTCGGTAAAGTCACGTAGTAGGTAAAAAAAAAAAAATGACAAAAATCACGACGTTTATTTAAACTTTCATGGACGTCCATGAAACTTTCATGACGTTTATTTAAACTTTCATGGAGTTTCATGGACGTCCATGAAAGTTTAAATGAACGTCGTGATTTTTGTTATTTTATTTTTTACCCACGTGACTTTACCGAATAGAACCAAAGAGTACTGTGGTTTATGTCATCACTCGACCAATCAGGTACCAGGAACATAAACCTCCAATGCAACATCGCTGTCATAAAGTCACCCGTGCAAAATGGCCGCCATGATGTCACCCGTGCAAAATGGCCGCCATGATGTCACCCGTGCAAAATGGCCGACATTATTTAATCCATGCGCTTTTAGCAAGTCTGTTAATAAACTAAATGTTATTAATATTGATTTTTTTTTCCGCAAGTAATGTTCTTGAGATGTTGATGCATTTGCACGGTTGGCTATGTACGGTGCAAAATAAGTTAAACGTACAACACATGTACTTATTAAACATGCGTTCATGAGTTATTTGCTTCATTAAATTCACTTAAGGTATTCATTATCGGTAAACTTTATTTTTTTACTTACGACTAAAAATTATACGAGAACGCATTGGGAAATTCCCGTGCATTTCAAGACCCCCCGTTGGTTGATAAGTAGTCCAGTGTATAGTAGTGTCGTAATTACAACTAGCTTAATTAGGCGACAGACAGATTTGTGGCGGTTGCCTGCTGAAGGTGAAAATCACTGGCAAAAACGTCGTACTCAGATTGTCAACGTGCCTTTTTACTCCCCGATGCACAACCGGCGTGGCTGCTGTAGCGGTAACAAATTGGCCACGTTCTCTGTACGTGACGCTAACCCTCACTAATTGGCGGTGGTGGGTTTTGACGGCACAACATTTATACGTTTACGCGATCGATCAAAAGGCGGAAACAAAATCTGTATTGCGAAGAGAAACCCCTCACCGACTTTGCCGCTGACCACGTGGGGAGCAGCCGCGACGACACCGCCGGCGCCGACGGCCCCCAGCGGGTAGCCGAGTTTGCCGGTGACCACTCGGGGATCCGCGACGACACCGCCGGCACCGACGACGCCCAGCGGGTAGCCGAGTTTGCCGGCGACCACTCGGGGATCCGCGACGACACCGCCGGCGCCGACGACGCCCAGCGGGTAGCCGAGTTTGCCGGCGACCACTCGCGGAGCAGCCGCGACGACACCGCCGACGACGCCCAGGGGGTAGCCGAGTTTGCCGGCGACCACTCGCGGAGCAGCCGCCACGACACCGCCGACGACGCCCAGCGGGTAGCCGAGTTTGCCGGCGACCACTCGCGGAGCAGCCGCCACGACACCGCCGACGACGCCCAGCGGGTAGCCGAGTTTGCCGGCGACCACTCGGGGATCCGCGACGAGGCCGGCGGCGCCGACGGCCCCCAGCGGGTAGCCGAGTTTGCCGGCGACCACGTGGGGAGCCGCTACGACGCCGCCGGCGCCGACGACGCCCAGCGGGTAGCCGAGTCCGCCGATGCCTACGACGTGCAGAGACGAGACGGGTTCGGGGTGGGGCGAGGGTCGGGGCGAGGGGATCAAGGAAGCGTAACGTGGGTCAGAGGTCAAAGCTCCTCGACCAGCCGCACTTCTGCGGCGCCCCGTGCCAGGCTCTGTGCGTTTTTTTTTTAAGGCCACGCGAAGCGTCGAAGGTCCGCTGTTGGCCTGAAGTGACGATCACAGACCCTGTAGGTGCCATGGGTTGGCTGTCTGAGATGACCGACAGACGCACCAGCTGTGCCCCCCTACTGCGTCGACTTGCTGCAGTTGTAACCGACCGGCGCTCCGCTCGCTGTTGTGAGCGTCGCTCCTCTGCCCTTCCGTTGTTAATTTGGGGGTTGTTTCCTTACAACTGCCCAGTAGCAGCGTCCTTCACGAGCCTCCTCCACAGCGGCCGATCTTGGCACCGCTGGTACCAGGTAATTGGAAAATCCACTCAACTCCATATCCTCTTGCACCACATCATTCCATCTCTTCTCCAGCCCGTGCCGCACCCATTTAGCCCCGAGCAAAAGCTGTTGGCCATGCGATGGCTGGGCATGCGGGCTACATGACCCAGCCAATGCCGTAGGAGCTCGCCAATGGGACAGCTCGCACTAACAACAAAGACATGTCCTGTAGTAATCAACAGATTACCGAAAATCCTATCGGGCCTACTTGAGGTTCCTCTGCCTTCAGTAATCAACAGCCTCCTCCCTTCCAAGTTAATAGCAATAATGACAAGGCCATTATCATCATGATTGTGATCAAGGCAAATCATCGACACTGGTTATCATTATTTGTTGAGCGTGCCCCATTGCTGTTGCTATAACCTCAGACAAAATACCGGTCACGTCACGTTATAAAACAACAGCAGTGGTTGGGGAAAGTAATGATATCGATGATGATCAGAGATGATGACAAAGGTTAGAAAGGTTTATTTTAATCCCCCCTCCCCCCCCCCCATCCACCAACAACCCAACATTCCCGAATGATTGAGTCTTTGCCTTTCAAAAATAAAACGCTCTGTGCGAAGGGAATCAGTCGGTCAACATTTAATTGCCACCGAAATAACTAAACAGACCCAATTCCAGAAGCCTATAAAACCGGGTCCACGCATGGCATTTGGTGACCCAATCAAGGCGCTGCCCAGGCTCTTAAAATCCTGCCTAGCTTCCAATATCAAACGACATCTGCGAGTGCGTTCTGGATTGACAGAGGCGGCGGGCAGGTGGGTCGGTTGGAAGTGGGTGGAGGGATTTAACCCATTTCCCGTTCTGAGATGTCTGCAAATTGCATGGTGGGTGGGTGTCCCGTTCGCTGCCGAATATCACAATGTGCAAGCAAGCCCAGCCTTCATTTTATATAGAGAGGCATAGCAGTCATAGCAGTACCGCTGTTTTTTTTATAAACCATAGCGACATGACCGCTGCCGACTCTACAATAGCTGGCGCCAAAAGTGTTCCACGCGCCCTTCCCGCGCATGGCCTTTTCCAATTCCGTTCCGATGATGCATTTGTAACGTCATCGGAACAGAATCTGAAGGAAAAGGGCATGCCGTACACGTATTGTACGCATGCCATCTGTATTTGGAAAGGGTTTTTCGCACGCTCTCGTTTCAACTGCCGCGTCGGAAAATCGAATATCGGAAGTGCCGTCCTCCGGATTGCAACTCTAGTTTTCGTTAACCGTTACGTTTGAATCAATGCGACCAGTTTCTCAATGCCCACCGCTGCCCCTGTTCACCCGGCAAAAATATAGAATGGTTGCAGCGCGACTTTTTTTTTTTAGGACGGGCAGACAAAAGGCATTCGGATTCTGACTCCCACCGCTGTCGATGTCGCAGTGCCGGCATGGAAAATGAAGTCGGGCAAAAAGCGAATATCCTCTCAAGAGTTCACCTCCGGTGAACCAGTGGCAGTTGTCGAGCTGCACCCTTCATCCATGACGAGAATAAGCGGGGGACTTACACCTCAGCTCCCATAGACACCTTTCTTACAGCAGTCAATGACACGTTGACCGAACTCATCGCGGCAAAATTTTCCCCCGCGGCTCGCGTTCACCTTTTTTTGGGTCTCATCGTCGTCTACATCGTCGTCGTCATCGTAGCGGTAGTGGGGGGTGGTGGTGGTGGTGGTGGTGGGGGGGGGGGGGAGGAGGAGGGATTAAAAATATTAATTAGGAAGGGGTAGGGGCGAGGTAGGGGGCACACATGCAAGCTCATGCACATGCGGCAGCATACCCACCATGGTGGTAGGGGCCCCCAAGGTATCCGAGCCCACCGTAAGACTGGACGAGTCCAGCTGCCGGAGAGACACAGTTGTTCCGTGTTTTAATGCACGGGGTGGGGGTGGGTGGGGGGTGGTTGGAGGAGGAGGAGGAGGAGGAGGTCAGTAGTGAGATTGGTGAGGGATGGATTTGATGGGGTTTGGCCGTGGGTCTTGGCTCATGGCAACCGGCTAAAGGCCGCCTGATGACCTGCCGCCCTGCTGCCGCTTGGGACCGTCCCCCGATGGGCCCATAAGCGACCGTGATCCCGTGAAAATGTTTCTTTTGGTGCCGGACTACTAAACGAAAATGATCTGAGCCTCGTAATGAACCCCTTATATGGGCATGGGAGGGGGCCTACCTTAGCAGTGGCGTGGCCATGGTACTTGAGCAGTGGGCGGGGCTGGAGGTCGAGTAGGTGGTGGTCTACCAGGGAGGGGGGGGTGCTAGCTGTGGAGTGGGCATGGCCATGCGACGTGGCCGGAGTTTCGACGTTCAGTTGTCGGGAGCAGCTGAGCCTAAAATTGGCCGGACGTAATTTCAGGCGCTCATGGTTGAGAGCGTGGGCTAGTTGGGGGTGGTGGTGGTGGTGGGTGGGTGTGTGGTTTGGGGAGATTTCTTACTTGTGTGATGCTTGTAGCCTCTTGCAATGGCCACTCCAGGATAGCCTAGACCGCCATAGCCCAGACCTCCTGTGAGAGTGTCTGGTGTCAGGTTCAAGTAAGTGCCCACTGGGCCGTTGTAGCTATCTTTCAGAAGCGGCCTGGCCATCGCAGGTGGCAGCCCAACGGAGTAGCTCGTCACGTGCCTACAGTGCATTGCGTTTCTAGGGTTAACTTTTTTGGTTTTCTCTCTCGTTCAATTCTTACCTGACGACGGTTTGATTGTGTTGCAATCGAAACGTTGCAGTCTATGACGACTTTTTTTTGTATTTCTTTCGACGTCACTTTTAGCGAATGGACCGAAGAGTAATTCCTGAAGTCACGGATCTAGTTTGATATCTAGTTTGATATCGTCCATCAATCGCTGCAAAAGCTTCCCAGCCACACTCGTCAGGCAACAGAGGGGGGTAACGTTTCTCGCAGCAAAATGAAGCAAATGCGATTGGGGTGCGTTTGGTGGTGAGTGTGGTGAGTGTTGTGGTGGTGGTGAGTATAGTGGTGAATGTTGTAGTGGTGGTGAGTGTTATGGTGAGTGTAGTGGTGAGTTTGGTGAGGGTGGTGGTGGTGGTGAGTGTGGTGGTGAGTGTAGTGGTGGTGAGTGTAGTGGTGGTGAGTGTTGTGCTGAGTGTTGTGGTGAGTGTGGTAGTGGTGAGTGTGGTGAGTGTGGTGGTGGTGGTGGTGAGTGTGGTGAGTGTTGTGGTGGTGGTGAGTATAGTGGTGAATGTTGTAGTGGTGGTGAGTGTTATGGTGAGTGGGGTGGTGAGTTTGGTGAGGGTGGTGGTAGTGAGTGTGGTGGTGAGTGTGGTGGTGAGTGTAGTGGTGGTGAGTGTAGTGGTGGTGAGTGTTGTGCTGAGTGTTGTGCTGAGTGTGGTAGTGATGAGTGTGGTAGTGGTGAGTGTGGTGAGTGTGGTGGTGGTGAGTGTGGTGAGTGTGGTGTTGGTGAGTGTGGTGGTGAGTGTGGTGAATGTTGTGGTGAGTGTGGCACAAGCGTCGTGGTGACGTCACCGCCACTTAGTGGCAAATGGCGGTTGTTGTTGTGGTGAGTGTGGTGGTGGTGGTGAGTGTAGTGAGTGTTGCGGTGAGTGTGGTGAGTGTTGTGGTGGTTGTGGTAGTGAAAAGTGTGGTGGTGAATGTGGTGAGTGTTGTGAGTATGGTGAGTGTTGTGGTGAGTGTGGTGAGTGTGGCGAGTGTGGTGAGTGTTGTGGTGAGTGTGGCGAGTGTGGTGAGTGTTGTGGAGAGTGTGGTGAGTGTTGTGGTGAGTGTGGTGGTGGTGGTGAGTGTAGTGAGAAGTGTTGTGGTGAGTGTGGTGAGTGTGTTGAGTGTGGCGAGTGTGGTGAGTGTTGTGGAGAGTGTGGTGAGTGTTGTGGTGAGTGTGGTGGTGGTGAGTGTAGTGAGAAGTGTTGTGGTGAGTGTGGTGAGTGTGTTGAGTGTGGTGTCGTGGTGGTGGTGAGTGTGGTGGTGAGTGTGGTGAGTGTGGTGGTGTCGTGGTGGTGGTGAGTATGGTGGTGAGTGTGGTGGTGAGTGTGGTGTCGTGGTGGTGGTGAGTGTGGTGGTGAGTGTGGTGGTGAGTGTGGTGGTGAGTATGGTGGTGAGTGTGGTGGTGAGTGTGGTGTCGTGGTGGTGGTGGTGAGTGTGGTGTCGTGGTGGTGGTGGTGAGTGTGGTGGTGAGTGTGGTGGTGAGTATGGTGGTGAGTGTGGTGGTGAGTGTGGTGTCGTGGTGGTGGTGAGTGTGGTGGTGAGTGTGGTGGTGAGTGTGGTGGTGTCGTGGTGGTGGTGAGTGTAGTGGTGAGTGTGGTGGTGAGTGTGGTGGTGAGTGTGGTGTCGTGGTGGTGGTGAGTGTGGTGGTGAGTGTGGTGGTGAGTGTGGTGTTGGTGAGCGTGGTGGTGAGTGTGGTGGTGAGTGTGGTGTCGTGGTGGTGGTGAGTGTGGTGGTGAGTGTGGTGGTAAGTGTGGTGGTGAGTGTGGTGGTGAGTGTGGTGGTGAGTGTGGTGGTGAGTGTGGTGTCGTGGTGGTAAGTGTGGTGGTGAGTGTGGTGGTGAGTGTGGTGGTGAGTGTGATGGTGAGTGTGGTGGTAAGTGTGGTGGTGAGTGTGGTGGTGAGTGTGGTGGTGAGTGTGGTGGTGAGTGTAAAGTTCTCACTCACCGACTGGGTGGCCCAGAAATCTGCTCCTGAATGTGCTCACCTTCGACTTGGCACTAACAGCTGTGGTAGGACAAAGCCAAAGATCCCCCAGTTAGCCTTGGCATACTTCTGGGGCAAGTGCTGTGAAGGCTACCGGCACTGTGGCACACGAGGGGGGTGGGTGGCCAGGACCACGCCCGGCCGCCTTTGTCTCTCCACCCAGCGGCAATGTTCACTACACCACCACCAACACTGCACCATTTGAGGCTGAGTCGACCTAGGGGCGACCCAGGACCGGTTCAGATAATCGTCACTGATGTTGGCCGTGAACGGGAATCGAACTTCAGGTATCTGCCGGGTTACTTACGCATAGACACCCATAGAGACCCATCCTCATTGAGATCCACAGATCCAGAGACTCACGTAGAATCATAGAGACCCATACTCATTGAGATCCGCAGAGATCCAGAGACTCACGTAGAATCATAGCGACCCATACTCATTGAGATCCGCAGAGATCCAGAGACTCACATAGAATCATAGAGACCCACAGAGACCCACAAAGACCCATAGAGACCCTTACTCATAGACAGCCACAGAGATACAGGGACTCACATAGACCCATAGAGACCCATAGAACCCCACAAAGACCCATAGAGACCCAGACTCATTGAGATCCACAGAGATCCAGAGACTCACATAGACCCATAGAGACCCACAGAGACCCACAAAGACCTAAAGAGACCCTTACTCATAGACTCCCCCAGAGATACAGAGACTCACAAAGACCCATAGAGACCCATGCTCATAGAGACTCATACTCATTGAGATCCACAGAGATCTAGAGACTCACATTGAACGGGAGAGACCCATAGAGACCCTTACTCATAGACACCCATAGAGATCCAGAGACTCACATAGACCCATAGAGACCCATATAACCCCACAAAGACCCATAGAGACCCTTACTCATAGACATCCACAGAGATACAGAGACTCACAAAGACCCATAGAGACCAATACTCATAAAGACCCATACAAACTAAACTGCTTATTTTGCCAGCTGTAAGGCACCCACTGATTCGTTGTTGTTGTCTACCATCGCAAATTGATATCAACTCAAACCAAGCGGCTGATGTCGTCGACGTCAAGTGGAAATGTATCACAGCCAAATACTTTAAACGCGCAATGTGGAGGTCACGGGATCGAACCCACGGACCTCCTGCATACCGGGCGAGGTAGTCAACATTTCCTAGGCACCGTGGCTCCACCACCATACACACACAGCAGACTACACACACACACCGCAGACTACACACACAGCAGGCTACACACACACAGCAGACACACACACACAAACAGCACGCTACACACACACACAGCACACTACACACACAGCAGACTACACACACACAGCACACTACACACACACAGCACACTACACACACACACAGCACACTACACACAGCAGACTACACACACAGCAGACTACACACACACAGCAGACTACACACACAGCAGACTACACACACAGCACACTCCACACACACACAGCACACTACACACAGCAGACTACACACACACAGCACACTACACACACACACAGCACACTACACACAGCAGACTACACACACACAGCACACTACACACACACAGCACACTACACACACACAGCAGACTACACACACACAGCACACTACACTACACACACACAGCACACTACACACACACACAGCACACTACACACACACAGAACACTACACTACACACACACCACACACACAGCACACTACACACACACACAGCACACTACACACACACACAGCACACTACACACACACACAGCACACTACACACACAGCAAACTACACACACACACACACACAGCACACTACACACACACACTACACACACACACTACACACACACACAGCACACCACACACAGCACACTACACACACACACAGCACACTACACACACACACAGCACACTACACACACAGCACACTACACACACACAGAACACTACACACACAGCACACTACACACACACTACACACACACTACACACACACAGAACACTACACACACAGCACACTACACACACACTACACACACACACTACACACACACTACACACACAACAGACTACACACACACAGCACACCACACACACACACTACACACAGCACACTACACACACACACAGCACACACACAGCACACTACACACACACACAGCACACTACACACACACACTACACACACACACTACACACACACACAGCACACTACACACACACTACACACACACACTACACACACACTACACACACAACAGACTACACACACACAGCACACCACACACACACACTACACACAGCACACTACACACACACACAGCACACACACAGCACACTACACACACACAGCACACTACACACACACACAGCACACTACACACACAGCACAGCACACTACACACACACACAGCACACCACACACACAGCACACTACACACACACAGCAGACTACACACACAGCAAACTACACACACTACACACACACACAGCACACTACACACACAACACACTACACACACAGCACACTACACACACACACAGCACACTACACACACACACAGCACACTACACACACACACACAACAGACTACACACACACTACACACACGCACAGCACACTACACACACTACACACACACAGGCAGAAATCACCAACCAAACTCACGCGTCTGGGTGGCGAGGTGAAGGAGTGCCAGCAGTAAGAGTGTTTGCAGAGCTCCAGACATGTCTCTAGCTTGGTGCGGTCCGTCTGCCTTGTGCTGAGGAGGAGGAGGAGGATGATGATGATGAGGACCCCTTGAGTCGTTGAGGGTACTGAGAAGCTGCAACTTCGGAGCGACTGGGTGCCGACGTTGGCGGCTCCTGCCTTTTTAAAGGGGGCCGATCAGAGAGCGTTGGTGTACTGCCGACGAACTTGGCACCCAGAATCAGTGAAGTCAGAGGCCCCCACAGCCAGCCGGGCAAAAGCTGAGGGTTGTGGGGAGCCCAAAGGGTTCCTCAATAGTTGCCAGTGTGTGTGGGGTGAGGTGGGTGAGGTGGGTTGGGAGGGAGGGATGGATGGAGGCTGGCAAATGGCCCCGTCAAGTGAAAAGCGAGGTGTCCACACGCACGCGCACAGACATCAACGCACGCGCAAAAAAAATAATGAATGAATGCCGAATTGTATTTGCTGTCCAAATATATGGGGGCTGAAACGCCCCCTCGTCCGTCCACCCAGCCACTCACCCCATACTCTTAAAATAAATAAGCGAATACATTTAATCGCGATAATAACCCCCTGTTTCATAACGGGGCTTTCATGTCCGTAAGTGTATCTCAAAAGCGACTGCGTTAGAAAAAAATGAATTTCGTGCGTGTAACTACACTCAGGTAGAGAGAGAGGGAGAGAGATATACACACAAAAATACATCTTTAGCGAGTTATAAAGTCCCCGATGGTGACAAAGTCAACGGAACTGATACTGTCGTATCGATGAATCTGTGATATTAGCGAATCATCATCATCATCATGTATAGTCACGATTGCAGAGTAATGCAATCGAACAACAGAATTGGAGATCTTCTTTGGTTCTTTCGGTAAAGTCACCACGTAGAATGAGAATAAAATAATACATTGATAAAATAAAATAACACAAAAATATTCTCACGACGTTTCGGCCACAACACAAGCGGCCTTCATCAGGTGAAGGGGCGAGACTGTCTGGTAGGACAGCGCTGGAGTGAAAGAGCCACGTTTAGATCAAAGTTGAGGCTTAAAGGCCATGATCTGAACGTGGCTCTTTCACTCCAGCGCTGTCCTACCAGACAGTCTCATCCCTTCACCTGATGAAGGCCGCTTGTGTTGCGGCCGAAACGTCGTGAGAATATTATTGTGCTATTTTATTTCATCAATGTATTATTTCATTCTCATTCTACGTGGTGACTTTACCGAAAGAACCAAAGAAGATGAATCATTGCAGTCACGAAAGCTTTAAATCGAGAATTGGAGATCTTCTTTTTGAGCCTTGAGTTGCAGGGACATCGTGAGTGGTGGTGCAGTGGTTAGCACTGCGAACCTGGCGACCCGGGTTCTATTATCTGGACAGGTACCTGGGCCTCTCCTAGGTCGACTCAGCCTCAAAATTAGTTACCTGGTGGAGCGCTGTGCAGTGAACATCGCCAGCACTGGGTGGAGAGACAAAGGCGGCCGGGCGTGGTGCTGCCCACCTAACCCACCCCCTCTGTGTGCCGTGCCGGCCTTCATAGGTGCTGCTCGCTAACAGCACTTGCCCCTACAGTCTGTTAGAGGCTACACGGGGCATCTTTGTCTTTGTATGTGTGTATGTGTGTGTATGTGTGTGTGTGTATGTATGTGTGTGTGTATGTGTGTGTGTATTGTGTGTGTGTATGTGTGGATGTGTGTGTGGATGTGTGTGTGGATGTGTGTGTGTATGCTTATGACCGGCTCCAGTTTAACAGCGGAGGTCTCACTCCGAATCAGTCGAGCGGCAATATCTTTTCATTGGTTGCGTAACGCTGTGTGGAAGCCACCTGGTCTGTCGCTCCGCACTAAGCTTCAGGTCTTCTCGGCCACGGTCATTCCCTCCCTTCTCTACGCTTGCGAAACGTGGACCCCCCTAATGGAACATCTTCGCCGGTTAGAAACATTTAGGCTAGCCTACCTACGATCCATCTTGGGTTTAACCAGGCTGGATTGTGTGAGGAGCTCACAAATCCTTGAAAGATCTGGGCAAGGTCCCATCGGTGAGCTCCTCCGGCAGGCAAGGCTGCGATGGCTGGGTCATGTAGCCCGCATGCCCAGCCACCGCATGCCGAAACAGCTTTTGTTCGGCCGGATCGAGGGGGCTAAGCGGGCGCGGCACGGGCTAGAGAAGAGATGGAGTGATGTGGTACAGGAGGACGTGGAGCTGAGTGGACTTGCCGATGACCGGTACCAGCGGTGTCAAGATCGGCCTCTGTGGAGGAGGCTCGTGAAGGACGCTACTGGGCAGTTGGAGGCAGTCGCCCTCCAACAACAACGGAGGGCGGAGGAGCGACGCTCACAACAACGAGCGGAGCGCCGGGTGGCTAAAGCACAGCAGGTTGGCACAGTAGGGGGCACAGGTGGTGCATCAGCCAGTCATCTCAGTCATCTCAGTCAGTCGACCCGTGGCACCTGGGTCTGCCCCGTGACCTCCTGCCAGCGGACGTTCAACACTTCACGTGGCCTCAAGGTGCACATGGCCTGGCACAAGCGTCGTGGTGACGTCACCGCCACTTAGTGGCGAATGGCGGTTGTTGTTGTGTGTATGTGTGTGTGTATATGTGCGTGTGTGTATGTGTGTGTATGTATGTGTGTATGTGTGTGTCGACTCAGCTTCAGCTGAGATCCTAGTGCTGTGATAGTGGTGTAGTGAACATCGCCAGCACTGAGGGAGAGACAAAGGCGGCCGGGCGTGGTGCTGGCCACCCACCCCCGCTGTGTATGCCAAAGTGCCGGAAGCCTCCATAGGTGCTGCTACTCGTTAGCTAACAGCACTTGCCCCTACAGCCCTGCTAGAGGCTACCTGGGGGAGCTTTGTCTGTGTGTGTGGTGTGTGTAGTACATAGACACTGCTGCTGCTACTCGCCAGCTAACAGCACTTGCCCCTACAGCCCTGCTAGAGGCTACCTGGGGGAGCTTTGTCTGTGTGTGTATGTGTGTGTATTGTGTGTATGTATGTGTGTATGTGTGTGTGTATGTGTGTATGTATGTGTGTGTGTATGTGTGTGTGTGTATTGTGTGTGTGTATGTGTGTGTGTATGTGTGTGTGGATGTGTGTGTATGTGTGTGCATGTGTGTGTATTGTGTGTATGTATGTGTGTATGTATGTGTGTATGTGTGTATGTGTGTGTATGTGTGTATGTATGTGTGTGTATGTGTGTGTGTATTGTGTGTGTATGTGTGTATGTGTGTGTGGATGTGTGTGTGGATGTGTGTGTGTATGCTTATGACCGGCTCCAGTTTAACAGCGGAGGTCTCACTCCGAATCAGTCGAGCGGCAATATCTTTTCATTGGTTGCGTAACGCTGTGTGGAAGCCACCTGGTCTGTCGCTCCGCACTAAGCTTCAGGTCTTCTCGGCCACGGTCATTCCCTCCCTTCTCTACGCTTGCGAAACGTGGACCCCCCTAATGGAACATCTTCGCCGGTTAGAAACATTTAGGCTAGCCTACCTACGATCCATCTTGGGTTTAACCAGGCTGGATTGTGTGAGGAGCTCACAAATCCTTGAAAGATCTGGGCAAGGTCCCATCGGTGAGCTCCTCCGGCAGGCAAGGCTGCGATGGCTGGGTCATGTAGCCCGCATGCCCAGCCACCGCATGCCGAAACAGCTTTTGTTCGGCCGGATCGAGGGGGCTAAGCGGGCGCGGCACGGGCTAGAGAAGAGATGGAGTGATGTGGTACAGGAGGACGTGGAGCTGAGTGGACTTGCCGATGACTGGTACCAGCGGTGTCAAGATCGGCCTCTGTGGAGGAGGCTCGTGAAGGACGCTACTGGGCAGTTGGAGGCAGTCGCCCTCCAACAACAACGGAGGGCGGAGGAGCGACGCTCACAACAACGAGCGGAGCGCCGGGTGGCTAAAGCACAGCAGGTTGGCACAGTAGGGGGCACAGGTGGTGCATCAGCCAGTCATCTCAGTCATCTCAGTCAGTCGACCCGTGGCACCTGGGTCTGCCCCGTGACCTCCTGCCAGCGGACGTTCAACACTTCACGTGGCCTCAAGGTGCACATGGCCTGGCACAAGCGTCGTGGTGACGTCACCGCCACTTAGTGGCGAATGGCGGTTGTTGTTGTGTGTATGTGTATATGTGCGTGTGTGTATGTGTGTCGACTCAGCTTCAACTGAGATCCTAGTGCTGTGATAGTGGTGTAGTGAACATCGCCAGCACTGGGGGAGAGACAAAGGCGGCCGGGCGTGGTGCTGGCCACCCACCCCCTCTGTGTGTGCCAAAGTGCCGGAAGCCTCCATAGGTGCTGCTACCACTAACAGCACTTGCCCCTACAGCCCTGCTAGAGGCTACCTGGGGGAGCTTTGTCTGTGTGTGGTGTGTGTAGTACATAGACACTGCTGCTACTCGCTAGCTAACAGCACTTGCCCCTACAGCCCTACTAGAGGCTACACGGGGGAGCTTTGTCTGTGTGTGTGGTGTGTGTAGTACATAGACACTGCTGCTGCTACTCGCCAGCTAACAGCACTTGCCCCTACAGCCGTGCTAGAGGCTACCTGGGGGAGCTTTGTCTGTGTGTGTGGTGTGTGTGGTACATAGACACTGCTGCTGCTACTCGCCAGCTAACAGCACTTGCCCCTACAGCCCTGCTAGAGGTTACCTGGGGGAGCTTTGTCTGTGTGTGGTGTGTGTAGTACATAGACACTGCTGCTGCTACTCGCCAGCTAACAGCACTTGCCCCTACAGCCCTGCTAGAGGCTACCTGGGGGAGCTTTGTCTGTGTGTGGTGTGTGTAGTACATAGACACTGCTGCTGCTACTCGCTAGCTAACAACACTGGCCCCTATAGCCCTGCTAGAGGCTACCTGGGGGAGCTTTGTCTGTGTGTGGTGTGTGTAGTACATAGACACTGCTGCTACTACTCGCTAGCTAACAGCACTTGCCCCTACAGCCCTGCTAGAGGCTACCTGGGGGAGCTTTGTCTGTGTGTGTGGTGTGTGTAGTACATAGACACTGCTGCTACTACTCGCTAGCTAACAGCACTTGCCCCTACAGCCCTGCTAGAGGCTACCTGGGGTAGCTTTGTCTGTGTGTGGTGTGTGTAGTACATAGACACTGCTGCTGCTACTCGCTAGCTAACAGCACTTGCCCCTACAGCCCTGCTAGAGGCTACCTGGGGGTAGCTTTG